GCTGGTCTCAACCACACTTTTCGTGCTGAGCTGGAAAGATCAGTAAGGAACCCCAGAAGGAAAAGCAGGTGTTCTCTATCCAGTGGGTCTGAAAGCATAAGACCTCAGGGTTGTTCGGAATGGACCCGTGTGGTCTCACTTCCTATCTCTCCCCATCAATCACATTCATAAACACCCCCTGCCAGCCTTCTAGGCCCCGTGGAGGCTCCAACACCTGACTCACCACGGGATGACTGGTCTTAGGGTCGAACTCCGTAGAATTGGCATCTGAAAGTCAAAACATCTGTGTCATGAAGAAAGTTACAAACAACACTGATGACTACCCATTGCTGCACCCTTAGTCACAACCTCCCTCCTCGGTTTAAAATCATCCAAGGATTAGAACGAAAACCAGGGACAGCTTACACAGGACATAAGATGTGGGACACCCAAGCACAGGTGACCTTTTCCCCATCAAATCTGTAATTCTCTGGGAGTCAAGTTGTATAAGAAGGGGAAACCAAAACTAGAAGTGTTTCTGACGGTTTTTACGTGGGCTCGTTTCTCCGCTGTTCCAGACCCTCTCCATGCATACAGCATGTGCTGTTCCTTCGCCACTGCTCTCGCCCTCAGTGTCTGTCCCACTCACCTGCCCCATCAGGACCCAAGTAACCTTTCTATTCCGTACCGAATTATGTCTGTCTAACCAGGAGCAAAACCACTAGTGACTGAAAGGGAAGGACCGGGTCCCTGGAGCTGTGTCCCTGCTTCTTTCTGGTGAATGCTCCGTTCTGTTCCCCTCCTGGGCCTGAGCTGGGGCCACGTCTCACCCCAACAGTAAGCTCATCACCAGGGTCACCAGCCACCTGAGACCCGAGGGTCAAGGACGTGAAAGGTCTCAGGGAGCCTAGAGAGCCAGCCCAGGAGGGGACAGGCAATGAGGCAGTACCCAGGACTCACAGCTGGGACTGAAGGGCGCACCGCCACCACTCGGGGCCACCATGCCATCAGTGACTGTGAGGCAGCCTCTCAGGAAAAGTGAGGCAGTACCCAGGACTCAGAGCTGGGACTGAAGGGCGCACTGCCACCACTCGGGGCCACCATGCCATCAGTGGCTGTGAGGCAGCCTCTCAGGAAAAAGGCAACGTGTTTCGAAACCCAGGCCTGACCACAAGCCGGCCACCACAGACTCCACGTGCATACGTGAGGCGGGACGCTTGTACATTCCTTCAGATGCTTTGTTTACTTTCCAGAGAACTTCCGAAAATCTAGTCTTCATTGACTGGGCTGCCCAGGGTAATCAAGGCCGCGGCAGCCCGTTCTCAGTGGCCCCACGAACCACACACCCCGGACTCACACCCGCAGGAGGTTTGCCCCAGTCTCCAACAACCCAACCCGATCCTGGCTCTGCGCGTGGCCGTGGCACTTGCTCTGGGACACTAGCAAGCTTGCTAAGGCTTGTGCAGTGGACCTGACATTTTGGAAGCCAGCCAGTTGCCATGTGTAGGACGACCGGGCTGAATTACCACCTCCAAGTGACAGATCGACTGCGGATACTGAGAAAAGGTAAACGGCTGTGGCCTGGCCCACGGAAACACCCAGTCAGCTTGGCAGACAGCGGGTAGAGTCTGGGCACTGTGTGTGTGCCAGGCACTGCAAAGGACTACTCAGGCATTATTTTACAGACCCAGAAGGCTAAGTAACTTGCCTAAAATCAGCCCTAGCAAGTGACAAGAGAAAATCTAAACCCAGGTCCGCCAGCTCCAGAGCCCGAGTTTATAATAAATGCACAGGCCTCATTTGGGCCGGGCTCTTCTGGCCGGGAAGCAGCTCCAGGATGGCGGCCAGTGATCAAAGCAAGAGAATTTCAAGAACAGGAAATGCGGGGGCAGGACCTGAAGGTCTGCTTGCTCAGCTCTGCCCCCTCCTTCCCGTGTGAAGGAGCCAGCTGCACCTCGGAGAGCAGGCAGCCCCTGTGAGGTTCTGAGAAAGCAGGCCTGTCCTCCTCCACCGCTCCCATCAACGAGATGCAGCCGGGTCGAGCAGGAACTTACCGAGTCTCTTAACGGGTGCTTACCTTGCCACCCCAGCACGTTTCTGGAGAACTCAACCACGGCCAACTGCATTCCTAAGCACACACCTTCCGGGGGGGAGAAACAGAGCCACTGAGAGGGCAGCGCCAACACTTCCCACCAGCCCACCATGGACCTGGGGTACCGCTTGTTCACAGAATCATAATCAAACTCAGGACTTCCTGCTATAAACAGGCCCACCCTGCTGTGACGCTCTGTCGGATCAGATTTCAAACCCTGGGTCTACGTGAACACAGTTTCCGGTTTTGCAAAGTAAATGCAATTTTATAAAAAAGCAACATAGTCAGTACTTTAAAATTTGAGTTTCCTTCTCTAAGTTATCACTGAGATATTACTAGAATTCGCAGTGGTGGGGGGCACCTTGAACCACTTCACCCCAACTGGTCAGCTGAGGTGCCAAGTGAGGGGGACAGAGAGTCCCATCTCACACGCACCGCCAACACCCGGGCTCGCTGACGGCCAGTATTTCCTCACGGATAGCTCATTCAGCTCCATCCCACTGCGGGAGTCTGAATTCTCCCCAAAGAAGTCCAGGGGCGCCTGTCTGTGGGCCGTGGGAAAGGCAGCAGGTGCGCTCTGTTCCCACAGACCCCCGCTTCCTCTGCAGGTTCCCATGGGGCACCTTTTCTCACTCTCCCCTTCTCAGAGTGAGGACTGGACCACAAAGCTCCTTACCCAAAAAAGGCTTTTTCTGCTTCCGGGCCCAGGCGATGGCGTGGATTTTTCCTTCTGTTCCTCGAACCCCAAATCCTCCCGGAACCAGGACTCCACTGCACAAGAGAACAAACCCTAGGCGACTGCCCTGTCCACCAGCCCAGCTTCCAAGGTAGGGACACTGTGCCATTACACCGCGGATTTCGTTACTGGACCTACACTGGGTCACTGAAAGACTGTACAGTGTATGTAACACCACACACTTAGGAGCTGCATACAAACCGTGGCTTTTTTGTTTTTAATTTTTCCCAGAGGGCATGTGCACTCACTGAAAAGAGGGACAGAAAGTGAGAAAGCACGCTCCCGCCATGGGGAATGGTCACACTGCAGTCCCCTCTTCTCCGTATGTCCCTCCTCTCAGCTTTGGGCATGATGCACACGTGCATGCCTGGCAAGTTTTTTAAGCCACCTAGCTGGTCTGAGACCTGAACCACATAGTCAGCCATGTAGGATCCAGCCGTCTTAACCACCGTGCCCCTCGATGGCCCCTATAGGGTTTTGTTTGGGGGGGGAGAGATTTTCACTACAGGGCGCGTGCGCTCGCCAGACAGACAGAGAGAGACAGAGAGACAGAAAGGGAGAAATCACCCCCCAGGAGGGATGGTCACGCCACAATCCCTTCTCCTCCATTCTCCTCTCAGGATCTTGGGCACGCACGCACACGCGCCCGGCGTGAGTTTTAAGCCACCGGGTCTGGGACGCGAACTGCAATCGACTATGTGGGAGTCCAGCGACACAGCCATTACACTAACTGCTGGTTCCCTATAGGGTTTTCATAGTAACATAAAATGTTTATTTTAAGTAAAAAAGGAGATGGTACAGTGGCCTCCTTCATCCACTCCTCAAAGTCCTGGATGAAAAATCTTTAAAATAAGCCTCGACAATCTCACAGTAATAAGTGTTCAGTGATGACACTCTTAATCAGAGTTTTACTGTGGCCTTGTCTTGGCAGACTTCTGAATAGTCCGCCCTTCCCTGGTTCATGCCGGTTTCCAAACCTGGTTCAACAATGTTTCTATCAATTCTGTGAACTGCCTAATGGTCTTCCAATAAATTCTTTACTGATGTAAGCTACTCAGTTGTTTGCAAAAAAATAAAAATCTCTAATTGGTAAAAAATAAATAAATAAAAAAATAAGCCTCATCGATAGATGCATACAACAAACAAGAGCAATAGAATCAGAACAGGTTTTCTTCAGATCCGACTACAGGGATAAGCTCTACTCATGCGTGGTGAAAATCACGAGGCACTGGCCTTCTCAGTAATCCAGAGATTGTTTTTTCTTTATTTTTTTAAGAATTATTTATTTAACTTTATTCATTATCATTATTACTATTTTAATTTGATCAGGAAAAGAGAGACAGAGAGAGACAGGCAAAGTGAGAATGCAAGCCACCATGTCCAGGATTCAAACCACAGTCAGCCATGTGGGAGTCCAGCGCCTAAACCACCATGCCACCTGTCAGCCCCCAGAGATGTTTTAACAAGTAGATGGCCTACTATGAGCACGTGAGAATACAGGACTGTTTGTGAGACCCGAAAAGCCCTGGAAACCAGAGGGAGACCACCACTTACTGAGCACTGCAGAGCTTCTGCCACGCCTCGTGGTAGCGGACAGGCTCCTCCTGCAGGGTGCTCGGCTCCAGGTCCGTGGAATCTATGTACTGGGGAGAGGTCGGACAGGGAGAAAAGCAGCAGCTCAGGACTCCAGGCCACGTGCTTTCATCATTTTTAACCTAACGTTATCAATGTCCCAGCTTTCTTCCCACTCCCTTTTTTTAAAAGGTTTTTGTCATAGGGTGTGTGAGTGCTCGCCAGAGAGGGGAAGTGAGAGAGCGCCCCATAGGGGATGGCCGTGCCACAACGCCCTGTCCTCCATTTCTCCTTCTGCAATTTTGATCACGTACACATGTATGGCATGATTTTCAAGCCACTGGATCTGGGATTCAAACCGTGATTGGCCATGTGTAAGTCCAGCACTGTAACCACTATGCCACCTGCTAGCCCCAGTGTTCCAGCTTTCTTCATTTTGGTTTAAAGTAATTGTTTTAATATATTCTAATTTAAGAATAACTTAGAAGTTTTTAAGTTGTGTGTGTGTGTGTTTTAAAAGATTTTTGCCAAAAAAAAAAAAAAAA